TTATGTACACAAAGGATCAGAGCTACGGATTAAAAACAAAACACAGAACAAAAGTGATCCAGTGTCCGAGTGCGATGGACAAAGAAAGACAAAATAAAAACTGAAAAATGGCTTGGAAAAAAAGGAAGCGACAATTAAAAACTCAATTTACATCTGAATGGGGGTCATATGAAACAACCACCTTTGATTTTAATCACAGACTTCCTGCATTATTTCACTTGGTTAGCAAGAAATTATTGGTGAAAAAAAAAAAAAAACTACACTATATGGCATTACCAGTCTGGAGTTCTTTTATGAGATAATAGAAAAGAGTCCGATGTTTACTCCAGCTCTGCCCCTAAACCAGCTGTTGAAACACATTGGTAGCAAAAACACAGGAGCAACACCCATCGCTTTCATTTACGCAGAGCCGTTTTAAAACTACAGCCGGCAAGCCACATCTGTAAAACAGCTGATTGTAGGCTGGGCACCAGAGCAGACGACCCAATAAAACAAAATCTTGTTAAACTACTGTAACTCTAATGCTTTTTGTGGAGTCCCGTTTTAAAATTCAGAGGAGGTCTAGTTATTTCCAAATAGCTTTGAATGCACCATTATCTTCCTGAACCTTAAGACTGTTGGTTGTCTAAGTCAGTGATTTTTACTCAAGGTCATATTGTGAGAATGTCAGGCCCAAGCAAATCAGGGCAACATTGGGTCAATGCAATGGTAGCTCATCTTAAAGAGCATTTTGGTTTTTGTGGGAGGGGAAAAAACAACAATTTTATCTACTTTTTAAAATATTTGTGGTGATATTTTGACATTTGCACTCAGTAAGACATTAAACAAAAGCTATTTCAAAGTCAAAAACCAATTATTTATAATTAAATAATTTATTTATTTTATGTATTTAAAAATGAATTTAGAACTTCTCAAAAGCAATGTTTATTATTTTTCTCCTTTTTCATTGTCTGCATAACTTTAGATTTAATGCAGTCGAGTTGAAACCACAACATGAAGAATGAAAGCACAGATAATGCTGCGCGTGAAACATTACCACATGAAAGTTCTTTACCAGATAAAAATTTTCCCATTACACCACATGTCAGATTTTTAGGAACCCGTCAGCTGACTAAGCTTTCAGCAAGACCCAAACCTTTTCACGTGAAGCAGAAACAGTTCTAGGGTGTGGGCGAGTGCAATGAACCCCGACTGCAGTGTTCAGACAGTTCAGTATGAATAATATATTTTGAACTGGTCTTTGTAAACTTAAAAATACACCACAAAGCCTTGTGTTTCTCTTCTGAAATATGTGGGTTTGTCTGTTGAGTGACTCTGAAATAACATGTAAATTAGGGATTCATAAGTCTGGCTAATATGGCATGAGATGAAAAGAAGCCAACTAATCTATAAGTGTGGTGTTATTTATGCAAACATACCCTGGTCCTGCATCTTCACTGTCAAATATTGATTTGTCTGACTTATAAAGGTCAGTGTGTGTGTCTGCATTACATTCACACGTATTGTGCGCTCATGTGACATTCTCAACTTGTGACTTTATGCGTCTGCGTGCATCTTATGAGTTGGTAATAACCTGATGCTGACACAGCAGCCGTCAACAGTCAGCAAAGAATTCATCAAGAGGAAGTCGACTGCTTTCACTTCAGCATAAGCCGGCCGCTCGCCAACACACACGCAGCAAAACCTAAACTGCAAGGCAAACGAAACGAAGAGCCTGACAGATTTGGAAGGAAGAAATTTCCTCAGATGTGTCATGTTTTTTGTTTTTTCTGCAAAACCAGTCAGGTGACTCCAAAACCAATGTCATGACCCAACACAAGGAAGCACTTCTGCACCGTTGTTCTGGTTTACAAAACTGACTTGTAATCCGACATTGAATAGCAGAAGGAGATCCTTTTATGAGTCAGGTGTGTGTTAATCATCCAGAAGAGACTCACCAAAAGGCATCGAAAGCTTCATAAATGTCCCCGAGACGTTGTTCCTTTGGTCCTGGCTGTGGATGTAAAGCCGTGCCGTCGATCCTGCACCAAGAACAAAAACAGACACCGAAGAGGTGAGACTTAACATATCAGCACACAGTGTGTGCAGAGCAGCACTATTTCAGCTTTTACTGCACATTAAATCAATACATCAGCAAACACAACACACACACACACTCTCCCTGTGGGAAAAACTCACGCAAAAGAAATTATTTGTGTTTTGCATCTCCTGTTCCTCGCTGCAGGATTTGGATTCAGATTCATATGCATGAGGCACCTTGCAAAACACTTTGCTGCACAAACGTTCGAAGCATCTTAAGTCGTCATTTTAGGCAAAACAACAGAAAGTTGAGCATAAATGTTACTAGGAAGAGAAAATGAAACCTGGATGGGTCTGAAGCATCTTTCAAAATAAACTTCGGAAAAGCGTGCCATGCTTTTGTATTCAAGGGGAGAATAAGAGGCTATGTATGACATGGTTCCCTATGGTAAAACACGGTGTTGGCAGCATCATGCTGTAGGGACAAGCTGTTCAGAGTGGATCTGAACAGCTCTCACACACACAGGGTGATCCTGGGAGAAAACTTGTTGGAAAACAGTTAGAGTGGAGAGTCGCTTTCCAACAGCACAACAACCCCAAACGCACAACCAGATATGATGGAACAATTTAAATTAAAGCATATCTGAGTGTCACACTGGCTCGGTTAAAGTCCAGAACTAAATCCAACTTAGAATATGTAATTAGACTTGGATATTGGTGTTTTACAGAGACTCTCAATTCAACTTGTTTTGTGAATACAAATGGCTGTCTAGATTAAAGACATTGGTAGAGATGGACACTGAAATATTCCCAGATGAAAACACATATATTATGTTTCTTCAGCTTGACAACAATGCGTTTGGTGCATCACATTAAATAATACATTAAGGTTAGTGTTTGGAAAGAGACAAATAAAACAGACAGAAATACTTTTGCAGGGCACAGTTTGCATATTTGTTTGGAATACATCTAAAAGAAAGTCAACACAAAGGAGGGAGCAGCATGTTCTTATAATAAAAGGTTGGAGTTTCCTCTTATGGCCAGAAGGGACTGAAAGTGATTCTTATTAAAGATTGCAGCCTGAGCCAAATCTAATATCTGAAGGACAGAGGTTCAGCGAAAGTGTCCAAAAAGTGTTAGTCTCCTCAGATCTTGAGAGATAAAATTACATCTGGTCATGAGGGAAATCACACCTTTAAAGCAAATATAGACACGAGTCTTAATCTTCACACTGCCTCTGGTGTGTTCAGCCGCTTCTTCCTGCTTAGTGACGCAAGAAGCTGCAGAGAAATGAACGAAACATTTGCGCAAACTGGAACAACAATCACTGCTCATCTCAAATTCTGATAATGCACATTTCCTCCTGGGCGCAGGAGAAATGCGTGCAACCTGATAGGTCCTGTAAAGTCACGTAAATGCCTCTCTTCTTCTTCCTCCTCCTTTCCAGCAGCAACCTGAGATGCTGAGTATCCTGGCTCCCAGAGCCAAGCAGCAGCAGCTGCTGCTGGCGGTGGAGGGGACGGCAAAATCCGTCCCCCCACCACAGCTGCTGCTGCTGTTGTTGTTGTTGCTGTTTTGAACCGGACACTGCGCTCACCTCGCCGGGTCGTTGACAGCCGGTTGGCTCGGGGTTCGTGTCGGACAGTCGCTGCTCCGGCTCTGCGGCAGAAGGTTGTCGCTTCCCAGGCTTGTCCGCTGCTCCTGCGACTGAAGCCAGGGCTTTAAATGCGCCTTTAAAGGAATATCTGTCGGAAGACGAGACGCAGCGCCTGGCTTCCGTCGACGACACGGCTTGTTTTGCATACGGGGGGCGGGGCCTCGTCCAGTGACGTCACCTCGACGTGTCGCGTTGTCAGAATGAGTGGCAGTATATTTATTTATTTGATGCACGATTATAAATAACATGAAATATGAACCATTTGTAAATATGATCTGAAATAATGACATTGTTTAAAATGTCCATAATAAACATTTCAATGAACACAAAACGAAAGAAAGAAAAACAGAAAGAAGTGACAAAAATAAATAAAACTAAAAAATACAAAAGATATATTTTAAACTGATTTGACATTTTCATTTTGTTTATAAATGAATCGCCAACAATCTCTGTAGAAATAAAGCACATAGAGAATTTTATCTTAAGTTTTAAGTTAATTAGATTTTCTAAGAGCTTCTAAGTGTTAATTCATAACTGTCTGTGTCCGAAAGTAATGTCTGACAGGACATTTTCTTATTGCCACTCAGCACCAGACTGAATGAGGAGCTGTTTTTATCTTTAACCACAAAGAGGAAGTAAATAATGAGAGAGATAAAAGACACCCTTCAACAGAGAAATGCAGCACAGAGTGGCTCCTGAGGGCCACTAAAAGTCTTCATAACAATCATTGACTGCTGTAAACATGCTCACCGTGTTTTGATGGCATGCCAGGAAAATGCCCTTTTGGTTCTACAGCTATAAAAGTGCAACCTGCTAAACTTACAGGAAGTTTAATTGTGGTCAAATACGTCAAAAGGTTTTTGGTGACCTTACATGGTTTCAGCTTGAAACAATGTGAAAAAGTGCATGCACAGCACAGAGTCTGTCGTGCCGTGGATCTGTTTATCTTCTGAAAGCTTCTGAGAATCATTTTAACGTTCAGGATCTGTTTATCATACCAAGAGATGTCAAATAAAAATCTGATGGGCAGTGGTAAAAATCTGAATATGGGTCATCATTAGATCTGTAAAAAGGATAAAGATGATTCACCAGATACAAACCAACCATGGTTTGTTCGGCTTCAATGTTTTTCTCAGCCCAAAGATCTAAATCGTTTAGAAAGCATGCAAGAGGAACTGAAGAGGCCATAAGAGAAGAATCAGAGCTCTAAGAGTAAACGTAATCAATATTGTACATAAATTATGTTTTTGTTTTAGTGCACGTCTTTATAAAAAGAAAATTAAATGTTGCTTTACACAAGAACTAAATTATAACCCACAAAAAAAACATATAGATTTTAATCAAAAATAAAATTAAATAATATCCACCATTTTTGTCCTGATTTTCCAACTTTGGGTAAACAAACAGTTTTGTACGTCTTAGTGATTGAAAAAATAAGCACTACAAAGATCTTCTCTCTTGATATGCACCAAACTTTTAAAATGTCGTAAAAAAAACTAACAGTAATCATATAAACAAGGAGGAATACAAATAATAATAATAAAAAGTTACAAATTATTGGTTCAGTTTTCTAATTATTGATCAAAATAAACCAATAAAAATTTTATTATAAAAGAAAAATCTTGCCTGAATAAATGTAGTGAAACAAAATGTACAATTTTCAGTGTGAGATTACACTTCTACCATACACATCTTTATCATCGTTACCAAGAAATGTGTCAGCCTTTGTAAATTGAAGCAACAAATTTAAGACAAAGAGCAGCTGCGACTTGAAGCCGTAAAGAACAGCGTCTCTGGCAGAACAGCAGAAGGTTTTGAGCCAAGCTAGTTCCCTAAGCTGTGTATATTTTGGGCCTGCTTACAACTTAAACTCCCTTTTACCAAGTAAAGATTTATGGGTTAGAGAAAGTGATTAAAAACTCAGCAGGAGACACAGAAAGCGTCCTAAACCCAACTAGTGCTGAGGAACAAGTGGAGCTGCATGCTGGGAGATTAACAGCTGCTTATGGCTTAATGTTACCAGCACAGTCACACAAAGTGCAGGCCATTGTAAATGCCAGAGTCCTGGAGGGGAAAAACATCTCCACCAGCCCCACGGGGGACCAGCGGCCATGCATGGATTTAGTGTTTTGCTCAAGGACACTCGAGCAGGGCAGGATTTGTCTATTCGACTTTGTTTAGTCTTCCACCGTGCAGACTGCAGCAGTGAGCTGAGCAGCTCATTTTCTTCCTGCAGGTCAGTTCTTTGACTTAGAGCTGGCATAATGTGTGAAGTCAATGAAAAATCAGCAAACCAACACAAAAACATGTTTTCTACTCCAAATTTATGTGGATGATTTGAAGCTGTTGATACTGCTGTGACGTCACTGTAATCACGTTAACAGAAATGCTTGCAGACTCAATAGGTGACCGATTTTTCTGCAGGTCTGAAGCTACGAAATGTTGGACCAATTTCGTTCCTTTTTGGTAAAACTGCGCCCTCTACTGATAACTATTAGAAAGTGCATTGTAAGCATTGGACAGAAGGATATTCTCACACCTTGAATAAATATACCAAATTTTTACAGTACAGCTGTAAACAAAAGTGTCTAAAATAATCAATCAACTGCTATTTTATATATAAACTTCACACTGATTCCTTTTGCCACTAAAATAATCTTAGCAACCATTTTGATTATTGACAGAGCTGGTTAGACAATCAATATCTACATTGACCAAAATTTCACAATTTTCCCATTTTGATAATTTCATTTTCTTGTTATTTGGGTAGTCTATTTAAAAACGAGATAATTTTTTGTGAATGTTACAGCCATTTTTTCCCCCCAAAATTTGAAGAAGACACTTGAAAAAGTATTTGTTAATAACAAATCTCTTTTTACTCCATTTTTGACACAGATCAACAAATGAAGTTTAATATCCAACAGGGATGTTCTCAATAATAATCAGTTTTTGCCACTATGTGACACTGACAAATAGTCCACTTGATACTAAGCAATAATTGGGATATCACTAGTGGTATTTTGTCCCACTCTTATTTGTGAAAATGTTTTAATTTAGCAACAATGGAGGATTTCTTTTAGACTGAAAGCTGCATGTTTAAGGTGATTTAACAGCATAACAGCTGAATTTAAGGCCAGAATTTGACTAAACCCCTCAAAAACTACATTCATTTTTTTTGTTTGTTATAGGTGGACTGCTGGTATATTTTCTATTAATGTCCTGTTTCATAAATCAAGTTATCTTGATTTTAAGATCAAGATCAAAACTCATCACAAGTTGTTGATGAGTTTTTCTTCTTCAGGGTTTTATGACCGAGTTAAAAATCACAATTTTATCAAATCCTTTTTCTGACATGCTGTGTTAATTGTATGGCAGACCCAAAATCGACAAATATCTTCCAAAATAATAATAAAAAAGAGCTTAATAATAATAATAATAATAAAGCATTAAATGTTTTGTTTTACAACATATTTTTACTATTGGTAAAAACTTGTAAGAATAGTTTTGGCTACAAGATTTCCCAATTATGTCTTTAAAACGTAAATTAAAATAGGAATGCATATAACTAGAAATTGATTAGATACAGCAGATAAATAAAAAAATAATGAATAGTGAAATATATAAATCTGGAGATTAAACAGCTAATACAAGAAACCAAATCATTTCCAACAACTGAAGCATTTTACAGGCATGTTATAAACATCTGAATGTTAAATATTTGAACACTTTGACCTTTTCCAGTCACTTTAACTACAAACCAAATATATCACAAGGTATAAAATGTATTGCAGAAAAATAAATAAATTAAAAAAATGAGAAAAGAAAGCTGTGTATTTTAGTTAATATTTTTCCACATTATAACCACAAACAATGTGCTTCATTTGGTTTTCTTGGACAAATACAAAGTAATAGAGAATTGTGAAGCGAAGTAACTTTTTACTTTACATCTCTGCATGGAAATCTGTTACATGATTAAAAAGGTTTTTATTCGAGCGGGACAATTATGGTAATCCATAAAACTAAATCCCAATAAAACCCATCAATGTTTGTGGCTGTAACGTGGCAGGATGTGAAACGGCTGAATACTTTTCTAAGGCTTTGTGCTCGGAGTAAGCACAGGTTCTCAAGATGCTCTGTTGTATTCGCCGACTCCAGTTCCCATCACCATGCATCCTCGTATTAAAGCACCGCTGTCGGCGCTTTCCCACAGTGCTGCTGAAATCTCCAGCCTCTTCTGTATTTTCATGGTATTTTGACTCCTTGGAGCTGCAGATTTCTACGTCAAGCACACAGCATGAGGTGAAGCTAACGCACATCATGTTCTCAGATTGCACACGACCTTACATAAACACATATGTAGAATGTAAAGTGAGACACTTTGGAGTAAAAACCATCAGCACACTTTGTGTTTTTCAGTCGTTCATCTTCGCTAAAAACTTGAAAAAGTGTCAATTGTGTTAGTGCTGCTAACATAAGTCTTAGAAAAAGGTTTAAAGTTTTTGAATTCATATAAACTCGATGCTTCACATGTAATTCCTTCATTTATTTATCAGTCTTTGTTGGGCTTCCCTTCATTTCTCTGTATTTTTTTTCAACCTTCATTGTTCACGAGAAGGTCCATTAGTTTTAGCTAACATTTGCTTGAGTCCAGTCCTCGATCCTCCACCTTCCAGATGGCGACTTTCCCGTCGCGTTTGGCGGCTCCACTGAGGACGTAGCGGTCCTCAGCGGAGCAGAGCGCCGTCACCTTGTCGATGTGGCCGTGGAGCTCCTTCAGAACCTCGTAGCGCTCCGTGTCCAGGATGTAAATCTTTCCCTTGGTAGAGCTACGGCCCATAGCCCCGACCCAGACCTGGTCACAGAGACGGCGAGAAGGAGCAGGTTATAGTTTCCCTGTCCCAAATCACCAAAATATTATGCTGCTTTGAAATGATTTAATCAACTCACTGACCAGACTGGTATAGCTTCATTTGTTAATTTGGCTAAAGTGTTATTTTGTTAGGCCAGAAACTTCTACTAAACAGATTTGATACGATAAGAATCAGTGCTCAACTGGTTTAGAAATTATTTAGCTGACGACTCTTACTGAAGAAACTACATCACCTCCACTTACAATAAATACCAAACTGTTTTCCTCCAGGATCTATGTCGCGCCCTTCTTCATTTTCTATTTCGGGTGGAAATACTATCATACACTGATGACAGTAATTTATATAGCGGTGTCTTTTTTAACCCTTTAAGTTCTTGGATCTGCACACACAACTCTAACCGACACACTTAAAATCCAAAAAACTCCTCCAAAACACTCCGAATAAAATCCAAAACATCACTGTGCCTCCAAAACTCTCTCCAGAGCCTCTCACTTTTTCAAAGAAACTTTTTCATTGGTTGTTTTAAAAAAAATGGAAACGTATATATATAAGCCACACCGGGCTAAAAGCCACTGGTATCTCCGCTGCTCTTGGTTTTTCACAAGGACGCTGCGTCCTGAATACATGTCCTATTAAAGACGCAGCCCTTCGTCTTCAACGACTCCATTTCTCTCCTGTACTGCCAGATCTATAGCAATCTACTTAAAAGCTGCATATGAGTGTGAAGAAATTTCTCCGTTGTGCCTGCTGCTAGCATGTACTTGTTCTAAATGAAAATGAGCACTTACTTCTTAGATTTCCTATTTTAACTTCCAATGATTCACTTCCTGCTGATGAGCCCCCTGGTGTTTGAAGAAAAATCCACAGAAAAGCCGCAGCGGGCTTTAGGCCGCCTGGTTCAAAGTGTGGGGGAAAAGTAGCGGCTTATAGTCCTAAAAATACGGTACTTTTATCAAGTTTGAGGTCCGTGCTGTCCGGGCATTGACCTTTTATGCTGTAGAGATGAATGCTTTTTTAGTATCTTTGTTCACAAGTGTCTGTTTGTGAACTGACCTGGTTTTTGACTTGAATCATGCAGTAGCATCCAGTGCAGTCCTGCAGCATCACGCGGTTGATAGGTCTGCTTGCGTTTTTAACGTGCCAAATATACACCTCTGCAGAGTCGATACACACACTCCAAAGCTCCTCGCTCTAACACAAACACAGGAAAACACAGGGAGGAGGACGTCCAACACTTACACTCTTAAAATACACAATCACAGTAATAATAATAGTAGACAGTCTGTATGTGTGCTACCTCAGGTATCAGCAGAGCAGAGCTATACGTGACTCTCTGTTGTTCGGGCAGATTTATATGTTGTTTTAATGTACCATTCCTCCAGACCTCCATTATACCGTCCCTAGCGCCTTAAGAAAGGGAGAGAAAGTACAATCAGTAATGAGGAAAAGAAGCCCATTCATGCTTCATTTGTCTTGCTTTATTGAGAAAAGAAACTCACAACACCAGAGAACTCCACCACAGCTGTAGACTGACAGCAGGCGATCGCAGGAGAGACGAAAATGTCTCTTCACCTACAAGAAGAGACGAGTAAATCCACAACATGAGTGTATGTGAGTCAACCTGGGAAATATTTATTCAGCCAGATTTTGACTGAGAGGGGAAACAACCGGCTGATTTTACCCTCACCTGTAGAGTCGAGACTTCCCACGCCACGACGGTTCCCTCCGCACTGCAGGAGTACGCCACCTTGTGGCTGAAGATTACAGCACACGTTTCAAATATTTATCCAGGATGCGTTTTTCAGTGTTGTAGTCAAGACCACCTAACTTGAGACCAAGTCAAGACCAAGACCGAGTCAAGACCAAGACCGAGTCAAGACCAAGACCGAGTCAAGACTAAGACCAGCGCCCTGCGCTACATGACACAATAGAATGTGAAATATGATCAAAATTGCTAATCAAATTGATTTGAAAGATTCACATGCCCATAAAAACACCTAGATATTAAATACTTAGAGCTGAAATTAATTTAACCAATATTAAAAGCAGAACAAACTCTTTGTTCTGCTTCTCTTAAAAAGGTAACGCCCTGGGCATTTGCCCATATCATTCATGTCAGAAATCACCACTGTTTGTACCATCAAACATAGTAATTGAGGCAATACCCTGACGGTAAACAACACTCAACTATGAGCACTGACCAAAGAGTAACAAGCAAGAAGTAACCAAGCACAAGGCGCTCACCATGACTGTTCTCAGCCTCTCTCCCACTGCATGCAGCCAGGCAGCACAATGCTGTAATGTCTACCACTTTGACCGAAAACAATCAACACATCCGCACAATAATTCAGTGCAGTTAGTGACTATTTTCCCATCACAAATGCTTATGTGTCTCTGTAAAGCTAGCTTCGCTAACATCATATCAACGGCGCTTACCTTTCCTTGAGCTTCTTTTCTAAGTGACAAAAATGTAGGTGTAGTCCCCACCGTCTATGAAAGCAAAGCGCTGCTGAATTAGCTGTCGCCATTTCTTATGATTTATGCAGCACAATTCTATTACTGACAATTAGACAGACATCTTCTGCCACTCAAAGTGGGGAGGAACAGAAACACGTAACTGATAAGTCACGTTATTGCTTGGATTTTAATCAGTGCATTTTGCATTCAGTGAAAACAGAGATGTTAACAAATAAACTGGACAGTATGCTGTAAGTTTAGTAATATTTCCACGATTGTGGTCTCGAAATAAAATCCAGAGTCCTCAGTGCCCGAGACTGAGACAAAACCGAGACAATCAAACCGTCTTGAGAACTACAACACTGCCGTATTTACAGAACTAACATAACGTGTATGTTTCAGAGAAATGTAAATTTCAACATCTAAGATTAGAACAATCAAACCATCAGCCTCTGATGATAAATAATCAATGATACATTTTAAAAGAAGAGAACTAGAAGAAAAAAAATATATTTAGAAGTTATAAGTAAGGTATTACCAGTATTTTTCGTTGTCCAGTGCAAGTCCTGTGACCTCTGCCCTGTGCTCAGTCAGCTGCCTGTTACAGACCATGGACACCACACTGATGATGTAAATGACACAGTCCTCAGAACCCATCCAGACCTGGTCTCTGTCAACTCCCAGCATGCAGTTCTGAAAACATACAAACCTAAATGATAAGCTTCAGGATTATTATAACTATTTATTTATTTCATTCAGTCAAAAAATATTTAGTTTTTTAATGCTGTCAGATTAATTGTAATAATATCCAATCTATTAAAGAAATTTGTGAGTTTTATACATAGGTGTTTTTTAAAAAAATACAACAAAACCAGTCAACACACATTTTAAAAAGCTAAGGAAAGCTCATTCACACAATAACATATATTCTCCACTAGGTGGCATGAGTGTTTAAAAAAACATACACCTCTGTGTAATATTTTTCTTTCCAAGAGAGAGAGGTACAATATTAAAGTCCTAAGGAGAAAAAGCAGAAAAAGAAAATGAAAGAAAAAAGGCAGAGGGAAAAACTGCTTCATCTGTATCTGATTTCAGTGGCATGAGTGAGCCAGACAGCTGAACCTGCCTGGCTCCGGAGTCAAATATTTTTGATTACCAGCAAACTGAATCCTTCTTATTTTAATGGCCTCACTCATCACTGGTTTTCCTACGTCTACCCAGCACTTCAGTCCCAGTTCTTTTGAGTTCCTCTTTGCATTGCGTTTGAAATGCTCCGATTTTCACTAGTGAATTTACCCCTGAAGATGATGGTTCCTTATCAATTCAGTTTACTTATAATTCATTGGATGGCCAATGGATTTCAGCAATTGGTATGCTTGATGCGCACCAATCTTACCAAAATAGATAAACATCTTTTTACGACCACAACGTCTGTAAAATAAATTAGAAGTTCTTCCCTGAAACACTTGGGATTAAACAAGTGGTTTTATTGCATACAAGGATACCATCATAAAAATAGATTCCCGTCATTTGAATGACCTGCAGACGCCTGACAGTGAATCTTGTCCAATATCAGTGTCAAAAACCCACTGATGAGCTTTTGAAAGACTGGTCAAAAATGTCCACTAAAATACTCCTTAACATTCTGAAAAGCTTTTCCAGATGAGCTTAAGCTGCTGCATCTGTAAAGTGAGTCCCGGTGTCACATCAAACCAATGGATTAAGATTGGGAAGTTACTCCACTTTATATGTCTGTGAGGGCAGATGAGACAACACTGTGGTAATATAGCGTAGCAGGGATGATAATCTGTTTCTTTAGTTTGTTTTTATATAGTACCAAATCAGGTCTACAGAGTTGGAATAATTACTCAAAAACTGAATCTCAACAAATTCTTATCTTGACTTTGAAAGGTATAATTGAGAATGACTCAATTATACCTCATGGTAAAATGGTAAAACCTCATTTTATTTTATGGGATGTAATGAATACTTATGTTTATTCTGAAAATCCCCACACTGTAGTCAGAATACATTTAAAATGTTGCACTTTTAAGCAGATTCAAAAGGTGCGTCTGTCCCAAACATCAGCACTGAAAAACAATATCCACTATGACTAAAGACGGGTTACGCTCTTTGGCAGAAAACAGAGGGTGTGATTTCTTTTGTTTTTAAGAAGCTTTTCTGTAAAAAGAAAAAAAAAACCTTGAAAATCACCAGAAGTTTGAATAACCAGCATGTTGCTGGTTTCTCTTACCAGTCTTGCATTTCCAACTTGGCAGGTTTGTATGAGGGACCAGCTGGATGCATCATAGACCATCACCTTCCCTACACCCACTGACACCCATAACTGACCTGAAACACAAGCAGCATTTATCAGTCATTTCTTAATAAAAACAAAAAACAAAAACAACTTTCACAAAAGACATTTATTAGAAACTTTACTTTCTGACCAGAACATTCACAGAATTGTAAAACCCATACAAGAATGAGGTGAAAATGTTTCCTGCAAATGCAGCAGATTGTATTTGGGTGTGACCATTAGACAGTTTGAGTCTAAACCCTTCATGCTCTGCAGTATTCTTGAGCAGACCGACTCCACCCTGGCTTGATCTAACGGTCACATTTTTTCCAACATATTCACTGTTGCTGGAATAAAAAGAAAAAAAAAAAAGAGAGAGAGAGCAACATCCCGGGTTTCATAAGGGGAGCAGAGAGAAACATACACACTGAAAGAAGGGAGTGGTGAGGAATGAGGGGGTGAGAAAACTGGTCCTGGGCCAGAAACTCAATTCAGTGACCTATATTCAAGCGGGAGAGGCTAGCCCAGGGAGACAGACATGAATAGCTAGATGTGTTCTTTTCAGCAAAGAGGGGCTGTTTGTCATTCACATGAGTGTATTTGAGTTGGTGGTAGGTCCACCACCAGCTTGTTTCTGAGTGGCCCCAGATGGCTGCAAACTAAAGGCCACAGTCTTTGGTGTTTCCTTTTTAGCCTTCCTCAACCATATAGCAACCGAGCACCACCCACAAAGACAGGAAAACAACAAAAAAGGTCACAGGTCATGTTTAATGGTCAACAGAGGTTTAGATTGACCAGTAAAAGTTTGCCTGAAGAATAGGTTTCTAAACATTGGCAAAAAATGCCAGAGGAGCACCCAAACAAACCAGAAACGATGAATAGCCAATAAGAATTGTCTCAAATCAGCTGAAATGAAAACCATTGTGAGACAATAAACTTCTCTTACCAGTTTTGCATGACAGAAGTCAAGAAACAGAATAAAAAAGTTGGAAAAACTAGAACAGCTGCTAATAATCTAGTAAAATCTTTCAATATAATCAGAAAAACCTCATATCTTTGAGTTTCTAAGCTAATGTTGCTACAAGACACTTCAAATTTTTTGTTTCTTTAAGAGATTACAAATCTGAGTGCATATGCAGCACATGAGGGGTTCCTCAGGGCACCGTTCTTGGGACACTTTTCTGTGTTACGACACATGTTGGCCACACACATTTAAATATTTTCTTATTAACAAATGGGTCTCTATGAATGATTACCTTAATATTAATATAATATATAGATGAGAACTTTCTTTAATTTTATGTAAATAAATGTTTGTATGCTCCTCATTTTCCAAAAACTACTGCTTACTCCTACTTGTAAAACATTTTTTGCTAGTTCATATCATTATTGGTTTATATGTTTCAACTTTTTTCAGTTTAATGAGTGTTCTTTTAATAAACTTATTGTGTTGATATATTTTTTCTCTGAATTATCTTGTGTGAATAGTGTTAGCATTAGCCCAACAATGTCTAAACATTTTCCCCTGTTTTCCTCTGTCTAAAAATGAATCTGAAATAATTCATTTCAATGTCACTCTCAGGCTTGCAGAGCTTCCTGTTGTTCTGTAGAGGAAGAAATCTATATTTAGTTTGCAGTGGAGTCAAAAAAAAATGCCAAGGTGAGTTTAGAGCAGCAATTCTCAACTGGGCCATTAACTTTTATGGATTGTTTTTTTAGATCAGACCCTGATTCAAATGGCTGAATCACCACCTCCGCATTACAAAGTTATGGAAAAACATACAGACCTTTTAATTTCAATCAGTTGTGATGGATCAGGGAAACATGAAGAAAATACAGGGAAGAGGCTTGTGAGGATTGTGGCTTAAAAATGTGTGTGTTAAGAGACATACTCAAACATTTATGAGCTGAAATATGGTCTTGTCCAAAAACGTTAGCTTAAATTGACAATAACTAAGAACTTTTGAAAAGTTCTTAAATGGAAGCTTCCTTTAGATTCAGCGTTTTCACAATATTCAATGGATTTGACAAATTTCTTTCAGTTCAGCCCTTTCCCAAAAAGGGAGACCGGATGAGGAGGAAGTGCTGCTGGAAAATTTAATGTGCACATACACACTTTACAAGTCCTGATTGTAAACCAAAGGTTAACTGCATAATTAGTAATTGTTAATTGTGTCAGTCAGTGAGTGTGGGTGCCACAATACGATGTAGAATTACGAAACACTTCTAACTGCTGAAAAACGACCAATCAAAATCCAGATTTCCATGTGCACCAATCAGAGACCAGAGGAACCTGATACCTGTCACCACAGTGTCAACCGGAATGCTGCAGAGACTGCTCAGTTACAAGATTTGCTCAGTAGGGGTGCATGCGTATGTGTGTGTGTGTGTGTGTGTGTGTGTGTGTACCTGGAGTGTACAACAACACATCTACAGCCAAGGGTACGGCAAATTCCACAGACGGATTTATTTTATGCTTCAGCGCCTCTGAAGTTGTGCTGGGAACCATCATCTGAGCTGGAGACGCATAAAACAGAAGTAATTAACTTTTAATGGGATGACTACATGGTGATGCAACAGGAAGCACTTCCAAGCACCAATTACTCTACCAAAAAGACTTTCAGATGACGTATTATGTGACGAAGCTTTTATGAGCAGAGGGTTCAGCAAAAATCTTACATGACTGATAAAAAGATAAAGAACGCAATAATAATGAAACGAAAGCAAACACAGTAGCAGGGGATGGAGAAAGAGTTATCTCACCTTCTAGACTCATGCGGTCAAAGTAAGCGAGTTTAGAAGCAGCGAAGATAGCCTTACTGCTCTGAAGGCTGCCCACTACAGCGTCCATCAACAGGGCGTTGGTCAGAGCCTGTTGCATATATTGTGGATCCTGGAGACAAAGATATTTGAGATGTAAAAAATAATAATAATAATAAAAAATTTATTTACCTGCTGTTTGTACATATTTAACAAGAAAGAATGAAACTAAACAATCTAACAGAGATAGAAGGACTTCACAATGTTTAAAAAATGTTTATGATTGAATATTGCATATGTTTTGTTACTGTTGACCCACATTTTTCAAATTTTTTTCTTTAAACCACACAATGTCCCCGCCATCTTCTGCATGCTTTCACATCTCAGCCATTGTCATCCATGCCAAATGTAAACAGCGGTGAGAGGAGCATGCAAACTGTGAATGCATGGCATTTGAAACATAAGACTGAACTAAATAAACCCATTTCATAGATGGAAGGATATACACTACATTTGACAAATACTTTGCCACAATATAACTATATCAAGGCTACTTTTAATCAGCAATTACATAAGCATTGTTTGTTATAGGCCGCTCTGGTGCATTCAAGTGATAATTCTCACCTAAAAGTATAATACTTAGAAATACAACTTACACTCCCTTGTTTAAGTTGTGCAAAACTTTTCTAATACTGACTTTTTGCTCTTTTCATCATGTCTAAGAGTTTTTTAATTAGTGCTGCTTGTAAATCATATAAAAACACTATCATGTGCATTAATGATGACCTTGCTGACTGCACAGTACTAATGAGAGGAAATTAGATTTTTCAATTCAGGTGGAGAGTTAAAAGACAAAAGAAAAAAAAAGTGTGTTTCAGCTACAATGTCCAATTTCAAAAAGGAAACCTCTTGCTAAAGTGCACATATTTTTGGTCAGCTGCACCTGACAGAATTTCAGCCACACCCACACAGGTCACTGCAGTTCATGTGTGTGTACATGTGCACACACATTGAGATAAAAACAAGGTAATAAAGGTGACAAATAACTCAATAATTGATCTTGATAGGGTGTACCATTGCTCTCTTTCATTCTACCGAGTTTTTTAATATCGCCAGTTACACTTACCCACCCTCCAAGATCAAAGCTTTACCTTGTGTCGGTCAGCTATTGATCGTCCTGCCCACATCTCCTTGACCATCAGATTCCACAGCTCAGTTTCCGTTTTCAGGTTGGCCTCGAATGTCTCCTTCCTTCCATGAACACGGATCTTCAGGCTGGGGATGCGTAGAACCAGGAAGGGAGCAGAGGACACCCTCACTTCCTGTCAACAAAGAATTGTCGTCATCTTTGTAAATTCTGATTTACTGGCTCGTGTTGTTTATTCTCAGTTTTTCCTCTCACCTCTAAATCTCGATATTGTGCCACCTCCACGTATCCCGGTCGTCCGTCGGTCAGCAAGAAAAGCCGACGCTGAGTCATGGCGATCTTCCCCACACCACGACTTGTTTTGACGGAGGATGACAGCTTGAAGACGCATTCGGTAGCATCAATGTGCTCCAGCACAGATGCTGGCAGACACACCTTAAAAACAAATAGAAACAATTATACAGTCATTACATCCAGGAGAAAAAACAGCCAAAGAAAATCCATCACCAAAAATGATAGTTGTAGTTGGTTGCACTGTGTGTTTGGGAATATTATCCATGTCGCTCTTTTCAGATTTGCTTATTTAGAAAAATGATTAAGTCGTATATCTTTTACAACTATACCCCACCTGGTGTTGGTATTTCAGACAAAATGAAGTAAAGCTTGTGGTTGCAATGTGACAGAATGTATAAGAAAAGAGCATGAGGTGTAAATCGCAACACAGGAACCTGCAATCGCCAATGTAATATTTAATATTTAAAAGAAAAGTCTACAAAGAGGTTTTATACAAGGTCTCTAGAAACATCTAATTAAACTCAAGCACTCAATATTTTCTTTTTTGCTTTTTTAAATGATAAACATGAGGGAAAATATGAATCTAATCATCCATCTAATTATCAAATTACACACAAAGGATCATAAACTTAAATAACACAAATGGGCAAACATATTATTTTCACATTTAAATAGAACATTTGCATTAATTTAGGGAAAAATATTGCCATATTTATTAACCTTTATGCAAACTGCTGTTGTTCCTCCACGACTAGAACTATTCGGGACATGAAAATTGCATGAAATAAATACCATCTGATAAAAGCTGTATAATGCAAGAGGAAAATAAAGGAGAAGAAGGAACCTGCTGTCTGCACTGCCGGCTTCATATGTTGAGCATTGTGCACTAGAAGTTAAAGCAGTTTTTTTATTCAATCAAAAATTTAACTGCTAATCAATCGGAGACCTTTAAAGTTTTACCGGAAAACTAATACAGTAAATAATTTATGAGCCACGTGCAATGATTAAACAATTTGATCCTACTTCAGTCAATGCTTTTTATCTTGTGACAAATCAGTAAAATGGACGAAACATTCTGCTGACTCTAACAATTTGCAGCGCCATGCGTCACAAATATCTCCATCTTGTTTTCATTTGGAAATACCACCACCGATCTGATTCCTCCCTGATAAGGACAGACATTGTTCTCAAAAATGTTTTGAGGAACGTCTCACTCTTGCTTGTACCTAGAGGTCACTAGGCAGGCAGCATGTTTCTCTATCTCTAAAATCATTTCTGTGTGTGCTGTTTTAGCATCTGCAGACAAGAACAAACACTGTGTGACGGAAAAATAGGAGCAGGCTGCTCACGTCAGCTGGACTCGATGGGCATGTTTGTCTGTATTTCGTGAATGTAGAGCAGAAAGAAAGCAGAGGCCTCATGCAGAACAGGTGAAAAAGAAATTGCTTGGAAATTTCTCCTAACATTTACTCACACATTTAAAAACAAAACAAAACAAAATTTGTCAATTACGGAAACACACATTTCCATAATTGACAAATTAAAATCTTTTCTACAAAGTTCTCTCCTGTTGCAGGTATGGATATCAACACATTTAATTTTTGGTGCACACCTCTTGAGCCTCGGCCTCAGTCTCCTTCCAGATGGTGTAAAAGACTCTGAATAAGTCTGGACCAACCTGCTTCTGGTGACCTGCAATACAGGCACGCACCAACACACACACACACACACGCACGCACGCACGCACACACACACATACACACACACACAAAATACACTGGTTGAATACTGAGTTGAACCACAGGTTGTTTTTCTTAAGACTGCCGACAGAGCAGTCTTGTTTGAAGAGCTCTGTTGCACACAAACATGCCCAACCATCTGGTTGGTGGCTAAGATACATTTTTCTTTCTCTTTTAGGCTGTTTGATGTGCCAGCATGCCTGCAGAGTGAGCAGCTGGAGCTGGCCTTCAGCACAACATCAACACAGCAGCTGTGTGTGCTCTCATCCACCGAGACACAACCATGTAATTTTTAGCCATATGAGTTGAGTCAAGTCAACTAAATGTAATCCTATACATCCTTTGCTGAGTTAAAAGCACCAATTAAGCAGCTTAGTGTCACCACTTAAAAGCAGACAGCATGGGATCACTGATGATGTACACTGAGAATCTGACACTTTCAGATTTTTAAAGACATCGTCACCTTTTAATTTTTAACCTAAGTCCCGACAATCTACTTCCATATATGTCTGAGAGTGTTTCCAAACACTCCAACAATAAAAAACTTGATTACCTATAACATGTGAGGTTAAAAATAGAGAGGAGAGAAAAAAGGTTATGTTGCATGTCTGGAAAACTCCACCATAAATTCATTTTCTTTGTAAATATATTGTGAAGAAAATAGTGTGCATTTTATGATGAGACAGAATTTCCCAAGCAACTGACAGACACATCAATATTGGTTATATAATTTGTTACAAACAGCAACAATATGGATATTAAATGAATATGTTTGATTGCATAATTAGGAAAGTAATTTTCACATCAAAAACTACCTTCACTCAAGAAAAAAACCCTTAAACAGAAATACATTAGCAAACATGACAACCAATGAGAGAGAAAAGAGAGCAGGTCTCACGCTAATCTGTCAGCTTTCTTTCACTGGGTTTAAAGACATTATCAAGAACTTTAATGTTGAAAAAAATCTTGAATATTCAAAGATAAAGCAGAGCTACATTCAAGTGTTATTCAAGTTAGTCCCATATGGAAACATTTGTAGAATGTGTACAACATGCACACAAATGCTAGAGTAGAACAAAGCTTATCTAAGGCCTTGGTTTAATCTGGAAATGTATGTGGCAAACTCTTCAGATGGGGTAAGTCAATAATTAACCCAAGGAATAAATGTTTGCCTGAAAAAGCAGAAGTCAGAGCACAGATTCCTGCAGACAATAGTAAAGAGCAAGCAATTCAAAACCTTGGAGTTTATAAAACAACCATAAGCTAAAGTACAAACCAGCAATAAACAGTGTGTCCCTCATTAACTGTAATGAAGCCAAACACACATGTAACAAAGTACAGTAAAAATTTCCTCCTTACCTACGGTTAGAGCATCAAACAGTCTGTGAATGGTTCCTTGGTCTTTTACGATGCCAGACTCCTGCACACATTTCACAAACTCCTCCAAGTGCATGTATTTTTTCGGCAGCTGGAAACGCTTTACTGTTGCGTCTTCCTGCCCTGTGCCCTGGATCGCACGCTCCCGTTCCTGTTCCCTCTTCAGCCGACTGATTAGGCGTTTGATTTCTGGCCTTCTGTCCGCCTGCAAAGAGCATTTGATATTCAATACTGAGGTGTTGCTGTCCATGTCACTGTTAGCCACTGGTAAAATACAATGAGTGAAATAAGCCCATCCCAAAACCTTTTGTCTGATATGGTGCGTTACAAGTACAAACTTCAATACTTTTTACTTAAATATTATGTGATAGAGGAAAAAGGAAAAAGGTGGATTATTTTCAAAAGACATTAAAAAATCTAAAAAACAAATGACTGGTGTAGATTTGTTAATTACACCCCTTTTAGTTCTCCTTAATAAATTATGCACTACCTTGTGTAATGTGATTGAAAATGGGCAGGAATATTAGGGCAATGTACAAGTAACATTTATAGCTGAGCAGTAGTTTTTGTTTCTAGATTCAATAATAAAAAACCCCAGTGGAGTTGGTCTGAACTGACCTGTACCCGCTCAACATCCGGCAGGGAGTCTATTAAAGAGTTAACCATCTGAGAAGGGAAGATTTCAGCGTCGGTCTTATAAAGACTATGGAAATCCTCTAATGCATCCAGACGCCTGTTGGACACAGTGTTCACCAAACCCCGGAGGTAATGGTATCTGCACACAGAAGAACAGACTGGATAAGCTTCATGTAAACCGTAACAAGATTTAACTGATCATCTAGAGCCCTTTAGGAAATTTACTAAGGGGCTCTGAAATCTTGAAAAGCAGCTAATTATCTCACAATGCCTGAAACACAAACAAAAACAAAGACCATGAGGACACAATGATGAAATCTTCATGACTCATGAGCTATAACCGGTTCTTCTAGAAGCAGGCTTTGTACTAAATAAAGATACAGAGGAAAATCCAGCAGAAAGGTGGATTTTTTTTATTTCTTTAAGGACGCTAGCAGTCAGAAGCTGAGGCAGGAATTACCTAACCAGAAAGATTACATAATCAAATGGGTAATTGCCACATTTTATTTGCATTACTTCAGTGCTGAATCATATGATTGTTCTTCAGTTAGTGTCAGCAAAAAATTATATTTGAACAATCTGGTCAGGTGAAACTATAAACCCTCTCTGTCATTTCGGCAGATACCTGGCCAGCAGCGCAGATTCATCAGGTGGTGTCACACTGATAGCCTTCCCCAGTGAGGATACCATGTCAGAGTAATAGTTCTGAACATAATGATAGGCTAATGGTGGCGGGAACTCTGGGAGACGGAACACCTTCAGAGGTTTCTGAAGGAACTTCAACCCTAGATGGAAAAATATGTATTCAGGATTGAGATTGAGATCATATTCAAATGATTCTCAGTTTTGCCAGCAGTACTGACCACTGTCGGGACTAATCTTCCGAATGGAGAGTAGTCTGTTGACGTTCAACGTGACTGATTCGTTAATGGGTTGGTCGAGATTCGGCAGACTGGCTCCCAGCCGTTTGCTCAATTTGCGGTCAGGGCCAGCTTTGGACAGCTCAGACATCGGAGGGCGGCGTGGAGATTCTGTCATTGCACGATTCCTGCAAAGAACAAAAAAGGGAAGAGGATTGTGTTTGACGAAGCTTCAGAAACTTTAAGTATAAATATTTACACCATGACTCTGCCACATCAATGTCATTCAAGAAAGCCAGTGCTCAGTAGAAAAATGGGATTGTGTAATCTCCCAATATGCTTGGCAATGGCAAATCATCACTAATGTCAGCTACAAAACTTAGAATTGGAACAGTTTTGGTTTGGGGATTCTTTGGGATTTTACGGTCCAAACTCACATAGAAGGAAATTAAGATGAAACAGAGAAATCAGCTGGTGACCAGAAACATGGTTGGCCCCTAACTGGTTACCAGCCATTCAGAAACTGAAAAGAAATCTTTTTAGAACACCAGAGTATTAACAGATCACACCAAACTTTGTATGAATTTTATTACTAAATTAAGAAAAAGTGAAAATGATTTTACAAATGAAGACAGAGGTGTGGTTTCTTTAGCCCTATACAGCGCGAGACTTCCAATGGAAAACAGGAAGGATCAATGAAGAAGAGCCAAGGTGCTCCGTATTATTTATTTTTTAGATAATTTTTCAACCTCCATCTATCAAAATGTTGGCAGCATTTCAGAGATCACAAAGTTGAGGAGATGATCTACATTCTCGAGTAAGTCCACACAGAGCCTGATGTTTTGTAACGTTAATCATGACAAATAAAAAGGCTAGGCAGTTTAACATGTGAAATTTACAAGTATTCTTTTTGCTTCAGAATATTAGTAATATCTTCATCTTCCTTTACTTATAATATATCAATAAATGACCACTTTAAACAGTTGGGCAAGAAAAAAATATTAAAATGTTCATATTTTTTTTACTGAATTAAAGAAATATAAATCCGTCAGTGAAAAGTTTAAACTTTTCATCTTTTAGATAGAGAAGAGACAAGAGGCGTAATAACTGATATTTAAAGTAACTGATTGATTGAAAACACACATGACAAAAAAATATAGTTCCAGAACTTGTGTTAAATAAAGTAATCAACACTTTTATCACTGCCCCACAGCAGTGACATCATGCCAGCGTCATACCGGTGAGCGTGGCTTTGTGTCATCTGCTCCATGCGACTGAAGGAATCTCTTTTCCGGTTCAGCCTGTCCCGCAGGAATGAGTGAAAGATGTGCGTCTCCAACACCTGAGAATAATTCCAGCAGAGTCAGAATCAGGTCTGTGTGCTTGACAGAGATTGCATCTTAGTTTAACAATGGTCGACAATTACCTTTCTGTAAAACAGCTGGTCGTCTGGCTCCCTGGTTCTGAGAAACTCCTCACTATTAAAAACTCTGTGTTCATGGTTTAAGAAGTCCTGGACCCCTCTGACAATAAAAAAACAAAACAAAAACAAGGTTCCAGTAGAGAGTAAGACTTTCTTATTTTTGAATCTGTTCAGTATTTTTATCTTTCGGTGGATCCTCACCTGAAGATGTTGACCACTAGTTCCAGGGCAATGTTTTGGATCTGGGAGTTGAGTTTCTGCTGCCAGCCTCTACGCTGGGAGCGAAGGGTGTTAACATCTGTACCTGTTCCAAGGTGGCACAGCTCCAAATCGTACTGAAGCTGTAAGCTCTCTGCCCTGGAGAACCCACAGCAAAAAGAAATTTAGTGTAGTTTGGGGATTATGTCCACTATCAACTCTTGTAAATTAAAAGCCTTCAGGAAGTAAACTTGTCTTAAACTCTGATTCAGATTTGACTTCTGTCATTAAACTATTTTTAGCAGCAGTAACTTCTGACTAAAGAACTATGAGCACATGACGAAGTACTGGTAAATTGGCCTATAAAATAACAGGTTTAGGAGCATCTAAGTCATTCAAGAGATCAGCTAAATGTTCTTTATAATGTGCATAATTTTCAAAACCTGACCTTCAAACATTTAGGAAAATATTTTGTTCATTTAGTTTCCAAATGTTCAGAGAGCAGTTTAACAATGGTATATTGACACACTTTTAGCCTAACTTGAATTGTGTCCTCATTACAAACACAAACTGTGGCTCTAGAGTCTTTTGAGTTATGTTTCTACCAGCTGTGCGCGTCCACAAGCTGAAACTTTTTGTTGATTTATCCTCGTAAAAACATCTCAGGCTATGTCAGCTGGGTGAAAAGCATCTGCTTCCAAGACCCGGCACATTTTGCCAACTGGATTTAAGCCTAAACCTTGACTAGGTCATTCTGAACAATGTAAAAATGTAAAACATTTATGCAAATAAATTTTATTCAATAACTAAATAAAACAGCACCACAGCAACACTTTTAGATTGGGGTTAGCATTCATTACCTTGAAATAAAGCACTCTGCTGCAGCCAGAGGTAATGTAGGAAGGTCAACAGCGTCAGACCAGGAAGTCTGAATAAAGCCGTCATCCACATTCACAAGGATTAGGTCCTCTGTCTCCTAAATCCAGAGACATGTAAAACATAGCATAGTTTAACAGAGAAAGGCTCAGTCTGCAGAAAAGAAAGCTTCTGTGAAAATGTGAGCTGAGCTTCAATGAAACAATGAATAAAGATGAAGACAGCTGAGAATAAGCAGCCATTGTTCAACTCCATATTTGAATTTAATAAGGACAAATCTGACACTATACAAATTATAAAACCTCACATTTTTTCAGCACAGAACCAAGAATTCATTAGTTTGCATCAGTGGTTTTAATTTAACTTATCTAGTAAATTACTAGGAAGCAAAATTTAAGCAGTAAATAGTGGTGGTGTACTTACAGCAGCAATCTCTTCAAAGTGATTAATGTGACAACCCATCAAGAAAGCGGTCGGCGCCATAAGGAAGTCCAGCATTCCTCGGGCCAAGACAGGAACATAGGGCTGTTGCCAGGACAGCGGCTAAGAGCAGGAAGCAGGAAGAGATAAACTAAAGGATATTGTTTTTAACTCTTTTTTTATTAATATTTAAAAAAAACCTAATAACCTGCAGGTACAGCAACAAACTCTCTGCCACCAGAGTAAGTCTGGCCCAGTCTGAGGAGAAAAAGACAATCCTCTGCTCTTGCAGAAGGCAGGAAAGCACCTGGAAGACGCAGCAATGGGAAAACTTGGTTTGTTCTAGAATAGCATTTTTACAGGTGTTTTGGCTTCATGTTTTCCTGTGTGCTGTGTCTGTGAAATAACCACCTGGAGCAGAGCTGTGTGAGTGAAACAGAGAAGGGGAAGGTGAAGGTTGATGTCTACAACGGGACTGTCTTGATCGTCTCTGGACGGGAGAACCACTTGAAGGGGACGAAGACTGAAAGACTGACAAACAAACACATTTTATTGTTTAGATCTATTGTAATGTAGGGTAAAAAGAAAGTAGAATTTAGTACAGAAGATGCAACGAAAGGCAGGAATATATTCTGACCACATGCAGCTGTCCGGGAGGTGGTAGGGGAACAAGGGACAGCTTGGCTGAAAACTCTCTGATTGTTTCTTCAAGATCAGCTTGTCTTGCAGTCCGCAACTGGACCAGCAGACTGGCAATGATGAGAATGAAGCATTATTACAAATAATAGATAACTACAGATATATTAATTTGGTAAGAGTTGACGTTCTAATCTTGCTTTATCATCTTATACTAGCTATTGGAGAGATTTCCATTAGATCTGACATAATTATTTTAGGTAAAATTATGATCAAATAATCCAAAAAGCAATGCATTCATAAAATGATGTTACCATGACAAGCTGTCTTTCAGGGCATTGTAGTAGGGAAACTTTGAAATGATGCACACAGCAAAAGGAGCAAACAGACGACACTTGGGTGTATTCCATCTGTGGCCATTTTGTAAGACACTTTCCTGAATAGACTGTTAAGGTAAGACAGGGTCAGCAATAAAACTCTGAATTTATCAATGTTTTGCTGATCAAGCTGCATGCGTGTTAGTACCTGCACAGCTCTGTAGTACTGGACAACAACTCCATGGGTTCGATTCCCAAACAGGTCAGTAAAAACCAAGAAGTGATAAGTGTCATCTTTCTGCTCGCTGGCTAGCTGAAGACCATCTAATCAAAACACAAGGGGTGCCAAATAAAACACAAACATAGTCTAAGCTGTAAGAGGGATTAAAAAGAAATATTGAAAGTGAACACAATTGGTGCACAATCAACAAGCTGCATAAGATATGTCCCAAATATTTGATGATGAAAAGCACTAAGTTAGTACATAAATGGATTTGAATGAAAGCAGTACCAGGGAAACAGAGCTGAGGCAAAGCGATGAGGTCCAGATCCTTCGGAACGCTGATGTCCTCTGTTGCAGGCGATGCTTCGCGACGACTGCTTGAATCTCCATTAGACACAACCTCCGCAGCACGATCTCGCCTCTTCTGCAGGTTACAGAAAAAATGGCTATTGGCTCGAATGATTTATATTTCATTTTTAATAAATTAGTAAATGAAGCAAACCTTTTTAATGAAACTTCTTCTCCTCTGCACACGGCTGAAAGCCGGACCAATGATGTGGTTCGAGTTGGCCTCTATGGAAACAAACGGCGGAGCATGGACCTGCAGTACCTCAGGATCCAGAAGGGGAAGTTCACTTGACTTCGTGTGCTGAAAGAAATTGCAAAATCGCATTACCCGGCACTTGTCGTAGATGTACAAGGATAAGTCATTATGTTTTTATAATCAAAAACTTAATGATGCAGTTTGAAAATCCAAAAAATTGATAATTTTTTTTTTATCTCAGTTCATTTATGTGCATACATACTTGCGGTATCTCTCGAAGCTTATCGCTGGAAGCTCCTACCACTACACAAGCCTCCAGGAGCCCAGATGGGAGCTCTGCCATCACATCAGAGTTCACGCACTCCTAGAAACACACACAGCACACTTACATACACTTGGAGACATTTTGATGAGATTGCATCACAAATAATGTAATATTTTGCATCGTTTGAATACAAATTGTCCTTAAAAATCCAGAGTTGTTTTAAAAAAAAAAAATCCTGCATCTGTTTTCATATTTGCTATGAAAACAATTTTGAAATTGATAGCTCACCTTTCACATTGTGACAAACCAAACAAAAGGTAATGCTGCTGTGATGGCTTATTGATCATTTTAAAACAAAACGCCTTCAAAGAGTTTTACATAAGACAAAACAGCTGCACTGATTATATTTGCAAAACATAACACAAGTCTACTAAAAACTGTCAACAACTTTTTCTCTCATGAATTACATGCAGCATTGCTTCCACAGAGCAGCTGTGTCACAGGGTTACCTACTGGTGCATTAAACCAAAAGTTTCATCAGAGGAATCGAAACCACAAACTACCAAATTACCGTAACTGAACCCCTTTTAGAGGGGTTTTTAGATTCTCTGGCACTGGTGTTCTTTTCATATGGATCATATTTAACATCACTGGTAACATAACGCATCATTGATACTCCTTGTAAAAGAAACGATTTATATTTTATAGCAGTATAATAAACTTTTTTATAGAAAAATTTACGATTGGTTTTGTTACAGTAGGACTATTACAATCAAAGGTTTTGTCGTCCCTGTACTTCCTAAACACACAAGAATTACCAATTTTGAGCATTATTTAAAAGGCTGCAGATTTTTATTCAGAGCATGGATGATGCCTAGCAAAGCGTCCAGGGTTGTTGGAAAACAAAAAGGTCCTCTACCATGCTAAACATTGGGAATGAGGTCCCTTTTCACAGCTTCATTCTTGCTTTAACACTAAATTCACATGAAAACCTCTTTGCCTCATCTGATGAACGTAAAAGGATCCAGTTAAAATTCCAATAGAATTTATCTAAATCCACATTTATGTCCATATCAGGAAGATAAACATGGTTTCTTTCCATGCCTTGTTTGTCAAAGTTCCAGATGTTTTATACTTTTAAATTTTTGCTCCAGATGGTGAAAGTTCAGTTTAAGTCGGTCAAGATATGAAATGTTCTAACTAATCTCAATAAAATACTTATTCAAAGAAAAATAAATGTATTTTATGTGATTTAGGGTGTGAGGCGGGATGGTTTGTTTAAATATATGAAAGTATGCTTTAGGGGTTATTTTCTGTTCCTTCACAAAGGATTTTATTTTTATTTTTTTTACAACCACTAAATAAATGTTTTGAATTAAAAGTGGGACTTTTCTAAAAATGCCAGGCACAATAGTGCTATAGCAAAAAAATTTAAGCTTTACTTGTAGGTTTTTACCGTCTTCCAGGATGGAAAAATGATGTGAAAAGCACTATATTCAAACACAGAAAGACATGTCCTGTAAGTCTGTTAGCATACCACAGGTCATCTGTGAACATCTGACTTGCATTAGCTGCAACTAAAGGCTGAAATTGAGACGTTTAATACATTAGCCTTCTTTTCATCATATTAAATATTTCTTCTATCGAATCTTTTAGTCATGTCTTGCTGGTTTCCCTTTCGGTTTATGCTTGTATTTTTTTTCCCTAAAGCCAATCACTTAATTTCTATCATTATTCTTATTTCAACACACTGTGTGTTTCACCTTTGTCATGCATTCCCTCTTAAAGTCTTCGGGTCATTCCGGCCTCTGACTAACAACCCTGCTGTGTCACGGAAAAGAAACATCACTTAAGTTGTTTATAGACCTGAAACCCCCTCATTGAGAGAACTTTGAACCTTGCAGTAGTGGCAATGATTATTTTGCGCATTAAAATAATTTCACTATGCAGGTAAAGGAAGTTTCCTAATGAAAACCTAAAGGGGGAACTTTAAAGAAAGGCACACTAAGCACTTGCACAGTAAAGGAAACATGCTTGCACTGAGTGCAGACAGCACAAACAATACTTGGGACTTGAATTTGGTGTTCACCTTTGGGAGGCAACTCTACACTGCAGAACGTTCAAGTCGTTTAACAAGTTTTACCTCATATCTATCAGAGACCAATAACAAAGGCATATATTTGGATTTTGTTCCCTTTTTTGTTAATAAGCAAACTTGAAAAATAAACACTGGTTGCACAACAGACTGCCTCTCTGACAGTCTGATAAAAGTCACATAATGACTTTTTTTCTAAGTTTTTTTATCCTCGGGAGAGTCCCAAAAATTGGTATCCCCCTTTTTTTACAGCGACGACTTTTGTAAATAAAAGGCAATAACACTTGAATATGCTGGACAATTAGTTTCTTTACTTTTTTTTATGGTAAAAGTGTCCAACCCTGACTTTATAAGCGACCTCATAACTTCATGACAGGCAAAAAGCCCTGACACACATGAAGAATGCGACCTCTTAAAAACGAGTGACATGCCCCTTTAATAGACACCAGACAAAGCTGTTATAGATTTTTACTGGCTAATGAGGGAAAACAAACTTCATGGTGTGTCCTAGTGACTAACGCGAAGGAGAAGTGCCAGAAAAGGTCTTATTTACATGTTTACGTTTCAAAACAATGTCCTTTAAAAAAAAAAAAAAGGGGGAAAAAGTGCATATTATAAAAGCAGAAACTGCCTTTGGCCTCTCTAGTTCTCTGCATTGTTTGAGAAACATATGGCTGACAATTTTGAAACAAACAAAACCAGAAACAGGTTAACAGTTTTCTGCTCTTATCCGATCTAAACCATTATCACTGCATGAACTATGACACAATAAAAGTGAGTTAAGACAAACCCAAGTCATATTGAAAAAAAGTGACAAACCTTATATTAGTCGATCATTTCCACTCGGTTCGGTTCCGATATTTGGTTAGCTTGCCAGCACAGCCATTGCTCGCGGCAATAAAGTCGTTTAAAAACTCCACAAACTTTCCTGAGCGCTGTGATTCAAAATTCACAGACACTCACACTGGTTTACCGCTGATTCGTCACACTTGGCAGCGATACGACCCTACTGTTTTCCTGTGCTCTGTCAAAATAAAAGCTTAGCTGCCAATAAGAGAGATGACTTGATACGTTTTGAAATGCCGCCACCTACCGCATTTTTTAGGTACTGCATGTGTATTATTTAATCATTTAGTTATGCTGTATATGTGCTGCATATTAGCTTCAATTTTGTTTTAGTTTTCTCCTAGTTCGGGAGGTAAGTTATTGCCATTTGGTTGACTTACTTTAAATATGTTATTTCGGTTAATATTTTTTAAAAAATGTTCGTTGCTTTAAGCCAATTCCAAAGTTACCCTGCAACATATGCTACATTACATTGGTTTAAAATTTACAACAAACCAATACATTCCTCTTTGAAAATTTTAATTGTGTTTAGACCTACGTACACCCAAAGTATACCAATTTAAATTTATGTGTCTGTGATAACATAAAATTGCCACCAGATGTCGCCATAGATCCTTTTGATAAAAAGAATCACTGAAGAGGTTTGGAACTGAAAATGTTTTGGACTAACAAAATGAAGCTTCATTTAAAATTTTGAAGATTTTAGAAACAATAAAATACTTTTAAAAACCACAACTTCTACTCCTTGTTATTAAATGTTGCTTTTCAAACATTGGCTTTTCAGTATATTAAAAAGAGCTTTTATTTGACTAATTTATGTCACAGCAGCACAGTTTTGGAAATAGACTAATTAGGTCACGTAGGATTTAACAAGGTGAGTTCCAAATTTTAAACAATTGAACTAAAGTGCCCTTTTCACTTCTGCATATTAATAAAATCTTCAATAATTTCTTAATTTCATGCACATTAAGAATGGAAAAAGGTTGTTTAGACAACAAAGAACCACAGATTCACTTGTTTCGACTTTACATATCGACCCCTCTGAAAATTTCTGTTTTTGGAATTGCACTACTTTGTATTTTCAATAATATAATATTGGTTTTATGAATCTCATAAAGTGCTTTAAAAAATCTGCTCAGTGAAGCAAATACTGTTGAAATACGGTTTAGTTTACGAGAAGATACCTATTAGAGACCACTTTAGGCTGTCATTCGCAACCTAATGTTTATACAACTATTTCTTCCCAGTGGATTCCTACCCTATAAAATTGTCCACACTCACGTTTTGCTGCCTGAAAACTATTATAAAAATAGTTTATTGACAAAATATCGTTTTATAGGTTTATTTATGTTTTAACTATTAAAAAATATTGATATTTTCTATGTTTTAAGCCTGAGAAATTCTAAATTAAAGAAGTACATTTTTATTTTTTATTTTTTTGTAGTTGCCCTGTTAAATCGTTTTATTGTTCGGATCTAGAGGAAAGTTTTTCTAAACTACCTTGCGTCTGGGTTACAAAAAGCGGTTGTAGGATTTTAAGTGTTTTAAGGTATGAACACACCCATTCATTCATGCTGCTATGTTCTGTGCCTCGGGCCAGGCTTTTCCTCTTTCCCTCCCTCTCGCTCTCTCTCTCTCTCTGTGTGTGTGTTGCTCCGTGCAGCAGCCATGTTGGAATGCTGGATGTGGAGAGAGGGGGGAAGCAGGAACGAGAGTGAGAGAGAAAGAGAGAGTTGGGGAAAGGAGCGGAGACAGACAGGAGCTCTGTAACTCTCAAACAACTCTCAGCTCTTCAACCTGAAGTAACGGGACTACTAACCGAGTGGAAGCCGTCTCTTCCCGCCGGTGAAGAGCCAAACCTCTGGGAGGAGACCTGGAAGAAGTCAGCGTAAGTGATGTTACGTTTGCGGGACGGTTTTCAACGGCTAAAAGACGTGACGGGATGCGGCTCGTCCTGGCTGCCTCTACCGTTTCCTCTGTTTGAAAAGCTGGTGAAATTCACTACTTCGCCCACTCCCTTTTATTTGGAAAATAGTGGATACGTTTTATATTTTTCCTCATTTGTAAGTTAAAAGAGTTGAAAGGGTGACCCCCCCCCCCCCCAGCCCCACCACCGTCGCCACCAAACTGGCTGCCAGTGTAGTCGTAACTTCATGGTAAATAAGAGCTGCGGATTAACCTACATTTAGCTTGAAAACCTCCCTCAACTTGTGCTTAGTCTGTGTCTTTCTTACCAATAGCAGTCGGGTTACCTTGAAACTCTTCCTGAACAAACTGAACTTGGTGAACTTTCTAACGTGAAGGAGCTTTTCGGCGTCATTTCTTTCACGTACTTTGTATTATTTCTTGCTTTTTCGTAATTACACTGAGATAATTAGCTGTTGTGTTGCCTTCACGTCCTTTTTTTTTGAAGTGTTAGAGATATTTTAACGGCGGGTTCGGGAGTTTCTCCAAATACATTGACAAGTTATTACTCCAGCTCTTCAGTTGGTGTTCTCTAGTTTTCCTTTTTTCTCGATGCCATATGATACTTTTCTGCTAAATACATTTTCTCTTTTCTGCCACAGTTCATCAGATCTTCAATTGATTTTACAATTTTGTTGTAAATCTTCATTCAATCAAGATCAACTCTACCCTCCCCCCCAAATAATCTTATATGTGGCACACAACTCTGATGCTCACATAAAGCAGCTTCTGAACAGATCTGTTTCAAAGCTTGGCTATTTCTCCTCAAGTGCCCTTTTTTTCTATTTGTAATAAAATCACCTCTACAAAGGTATTTACTTGTATTCTGTAGGCTTAAATAAGACATGAGCTTTTGCAATGTTCAGACCCTAATTTCACACAATACTTGACCTTTTTGCTGTTCTGCTCTTCATAAGGAAATATAACAACCTGTTACTAGCTGGTAAATTAGTAGGGCTATCTGCTCTGAGTACTATTCAGAGCAGATAGCCCCTGACTATCTGCTCTGAGGCAGATAGGCTATCTGATAGCTCAATTATAACCCAAACAATTGTTTGTAACCTAATTGTTTGAGCTACAAACAATTGAGTTTGTTTGTAACCCAAACAAACCCAATTTATTTGGGTTACAAACAAATTGTTGCCACAATAAAAATGACAGAGTGATGAGGGTTTTTTTTCTTTGCTAATAATAATGTAATAATAATGTTGTCAAACGTCTTATACTTGTCAGGGGAAAATGTAGTCGTCCTCTGTCAAGATTTAAAAATGGCTTAAAACTAGAAGGAGTGATATGTACAATCAAGTTAGTCCATTACAATCCAGATAGAGAGATTGATAAAACTTTACCATTTATTTCCCTTGCCTTTTAAGCTGCAATGTTAAGTCAAGTCAAATTATTGAAAGACATTGAATCAGGAAATCAGAACACTCTGGCTTGATCTTTACAGATAAACATTTATTTGAATTATTGTAAAGCAATAGCTTAATCTCTATGATAAAATAACAGCCTGGAAGTTGTTCACACTTAGCTAAATGTTGAATATTTTAAGATCTTGTCTTGGATTATCGATGCTGAAACGCTCAATGCAATCGTCAAAAACGGTGTGCTCTGCTCTGCATACAAGCAACTGTGAAAGAGGTTCTCTGTTTGCATCTGCTTCAAATTCTACATGCAAGAAAATGTATCCTGAGGCCACCGGAGCTTCTGATTTAACAGTGCACAAATTAGATTGTGGTTCTGCATGTCTACATTTCCATATCTGAAGTGCTGCTTTGTATATTGATGTGATCCAGGATGCTAGATGCAAATTATTTGGTCCGCTCTATTTTTTTTTTCTAATTATATGTTTGACAGCGCATTACTAAAGTTATTTAAACCAATTCAGCTGGTTGTGGTGGCTAATGAAAAACTCCTGTCATCTGAAAAGTGCATGTGCTTGTCAGGAAGGTGTCCTGTAGGAGACACTTCCTTCTCTACAACAAGCCAGAGGTGAAATCCTCTCTTTCATGTGTTGAAAACACATGTCTCTCTCTTTAGTGCTGTTGGCTTCAAAAGGAAATCCTTTCTGCTATTAATACAATCTTTTTTCCTGGAATTTGAAGATAGTATTCAGTGATGTCAAACTTAAGGAAGAAATTGGCTTAAAGATTATTTTAGTGCACACATTTTGCAACTACTGCAACTGAGTGCAGTAATGTGTACTAATTAGTCAGATGTCTTTTCGATTTTCATATTGCTGTGTTTGTAAAAAGGCTTTCCAAACTGTAAGAGTTAAATAAATTGCTTAGCATGCAGTTGTGCGCGCCGCTTCACCTTCCTAATTCAATCCTTCCTGTGGCAGATCACCAGCAGGCCAACGCAGGCGTGGTAGCCTGTGTGCATGCTTATATCGCTCTGCATATGTGTGTATAAAGTGCAGAGCAGTGTTGGAGGCCTGTATTTATAGAAACACTTGGCTACACTCAGTTCTGCAGGGGCAGTCCACTACCCTGCAGAGATGTGTGCTATGTTTTTATCTGTCTTGTCTCTTTATGTGTTTTAAAGGCGTCCCGTACTTAGTCTCTGTTCGAGTTTTGTCTAGAGATGAGAGCAAATGGGAAAACATTCTAGAAAAAGGCAAGACTGTAACACAGCCAGCAGTGTTGTGTTGCTAGATTGCAGTACACCGTGACTCATAATGAGTCTAACAAATGATAGCACTCACTGCAGTCGCTATCTGCGGAGGCATGTAGACATCCCTCCACACAGTATGTGTGTGTCATGAGGATTTCATGAAGTAATTTGACTTTGGAGAGACGCACAACTCTGCACTTGTTTCTTTGCAGTTTGAGTGTTTTCCAGGCAAGCAGGGTGGCTGTGTGTGTGTGTGTGTGTGTGTGTGTGTGTGTGTGTGTGTGTGTGTGTGTGTGTGTGTGTGTGTGTGTGTGTGTGTGTCTGTGTCTGTGTTTTTCCCAAGCGGTTGGCAACCCCAGACCTACCTCAGCTGTTATTTCAGACCTCGCCAAATTTAAGATTGCTTTTGGCACATCCAGAATGCAAAGGTGGGAAAGAGAAACATGAATGGACAGTTGAACCAAGGAATAGCTGCTATTTGTTTTGGAAGTTTGACAGATGCGGTGTGTTTATTTATTTATATTTATGTACAGTACCAGATTGAAAATCTCA